CTCCTCCTGTGGGGGTGCACTGACCACCTGGGGGCAGCTCCTGCATTGGACGTCTGCCCCCTGGTGGTCAGTGCACATCATAGCGACAGTTGTTCCATGGTTTGGTCAATTTGCATATTAGGGTTTTATTATATAGGATGGTTCCTGCTCTAAGCAGGAGGATTCAGCCATTTCTGAATACGACCCAGGCACCCCTTTTCATGGAGTCGGCATCCCAGTGGCGGAAGGCTGACAGACACCTGGGTGATGAGGTGTCAAGCAGGGAGAGAGCCATGAGGAAAAAACAAAGCAGTAAATGGCAGGGGTGAGGCCACCAGGCTCGACCTCTAAGATGAGTGACCCCTGAGCAAGCAATGGCAGAACAGATGTGGAGAGATGGGTGTTTCTGGCGGAAGGACCAGGGCGAGCAGGTGCAAATCCTGAGCGAGGCAGGAGCAGGTTTGGTACAGAGTAAGAACTTAATATCCTTTTTATTATTATTAATCCAAGAAGGGAGGGAAAAGCCTTTCAGGCAGAAGGAATAGCATAGGCAAAGACCTTACAAGTGTGAAGGCTGAAGGCAGGCAGACCTGGTGCGGCACAGAGAGTTTGGGGGGACTTTGAGAAGGGTGGTGTGAGCTGGAGTGGGAGGCAGGGTTAGGAGCTTGGTTGGTGTCTCAGAGGAATGGGTAGCTTTAATCAGGGAGGTTAACTCGACCAGGTTAGCTTTCAGAAAAGTTGACTTTAGACAAAGGGAGGCAGGCAGGCGATTTAGTGGGAGGCTCTTTATTTTCCTCATTAAGATCATCTTTGAAAAGATACTGAGCAGATTTATCATAGAGCATTTCTTTACTAGAGCAGGCAGCCACCTTTGTCCCCCTTTTGTCTCCTTGTTTATAATTTCTGACAGAGTGCAGACCTGGATCCGCGGGGACCTGGGTCTATGTGGCATCCCAGATGAAAGGCGGGAGGAGGCATCTGAGAGCTCTGCAGTCTGTTCCCCTTCAGATGCCAAGGGGCTGGGCACCGCAGGGGTCCGCCCTTCTGTCCCTGCCTCTTTCATCCTCCTGGGAATTGTAAAGGACCCTCCCCCTCCCCCCAGACGCCCCATCCCTGCTCCTATCTCCCTGAAGCCTGGGTGAGTCTCCCCTCAGAGGGAGATAGCACGGCGGGAAGAATTTTGACCCCTGCCCTCTCCAGCTGGGTGGCAACTCACTTCTTTCTCAGCGATATGCTCAGTGAGTCCGTGCCAGAAGCCTCCAGAAAGCCTCCTCCTCCTCCCCCCTCAGAGGAGCCAAGGTCTGACCGGGTGTGGTGGTGGCTCAGGAAGGAGTGTGGGGAGTTCTGCAAGGTTTGGGCACCAGGGTGCCAGGCGCGGGGAGTGTTGTCTGAGATAGAGAAGATGAGATTTTTCTGAAACTGAGACTTAGAAGATTTTTACCATTTTGGAGGAAAGGTCTGGGAATGGAGGCAGATAAGGCAGTGGTCGGCAAGCTCATTAGTCAACAGAGACACATATCAACAGCACAATGATTGAAATTTCCACAAAGTTTCAATCGCACTGTATGTGCACACTCGCACATGGTGTTTTATTTATTTATTATTTATTTATTTAAAAATATATTTTATAGATTTTTTACAGAGAGGAAGAGAGAGGGATAGAGAGTTAGAAACATCGATGAGAGAGAATCATCAATCAGCTGCCTCTTGCACACCCCCTACTGGGGACGTGCCCGCAACCAAGGTACATGCCCCTGACCGGAATCGAACCTGGGACCCTTCAGTCCGCAGGCTGACGCTCTAGCTCTATACAATGAACCAAACCAGTTTTGGCGCACATGGTGTTTTGTGGAAGAGCCACACTCAAGGGGCCAAAGAGCAGCATGTAGCTCACGAGCCACAGTTTGCCGACCACTGGGATAAGCGACTCCCAGGCAGGGGAAACATGCGAGACCACGCATGCCTTCAGCTTGCCACGAGGGATCGGCTAAAAGCCCAGCAGGGTCCCAGGGTTTTGGCTGTCATCTCTCTCTCTGGCTGTGGAAGGGGTGATATGGTCAGCGGGAGGTAATCACACACATGTTTCACACGAGGTGCCCAGTGCCGTTACAGGAGCCGCCCGAGTATTAACGATGTAAGGTCACAGCCTGTACAGTAGTCACCGTCACCGTGCCAGATGGGAAAACTCAGGGGATAGGATCGGAACCAGGCAGCCTGGGTGACTCTGCTTTCAGCCACTGAGTGAGGCTGCGTCACCCGGCCAGCTCGGGCGGAGGTGTGAGGACAGGACTGGGGAGGATTAAGGAGTGACCATGGCCTGGAGGTGGCCTCAGGTGGGATGTGGGCCCAGGGTGACGGTGGAGCCGTGGCAGGCACTCAGAGGCCCTGGGCCCACTCCTGAGCTGTGGCACTGGGAGGACAGAGGGCCCTGGCGGCTCCCGTCTTACCCCTGTGAAATGGGTTCAGGAACCTGCCTCAGGGGTAGCGAGGGCTGGCGTGAAGGTGCTTCGTGTATTGAGGTGGCTGTGTCAGTGGAGCCTGCCCTTGCCACCTCCCCTCTGTGTCCCCACGGTCACACACACACCCAGGGTCCCCTCTGTCCCCTTTCTAGTGCCTCTCAGGGCACCCTGCCCTCGGAAATTTCTTTCTCTGGTGCTTCCTCATGAAGCCAGAGCTGGCTTTGAAGCCCTCTTGGTTTGAGATAGAGAGAGAGAGAGAGAGAGAGAGGTAAAAGCAGTTCAAGGGATGTAGGTTGAAAGGATTTGGAAGTGCCGATGGGCGGCAGGAAGACTTTTAATAATTGTTCAGAACATCTGAGTGCCTCCGTGGGCCTCTCAGCTCACCGAGCCGCGCCTCTCCCTGGCACGGAGAGGAGGTGAGAGCGCGTGGTGGTGGGGGGGCTGCTGTGAGCTTGGGGCAGGCACCGTGATCACCCTCTGCCCGCCCCTGCCATGCCACCAAAATAGAAGGGCTGAGGCCCCGGCCCCGGGAGGGGCTGGGGAAGCTTTTGAAGCCGGAGGGAAGGCTGAGCGTGTTAATATTCACCCTGTCGCAGCGGTTGCCCTGGGTTTTCTGTTTCCATGGCAGGCAGAGGCATCACCAGCCTGGCTCAGACGCTCCGGGGCCGGGAGGCAGAGCCTGGGCTCGGCTCCTACATCGCCGGGTGCCCTCCCTCTCCGGGCCTCGGTTGCCTCATCTGTGGCATGGACAACTGTGAGGTCACCTCCCCGGTTCTCTCCTGCTGCCATGTTTAGGAGGCACATCCTTGACAACTTGGATGCCAACCCCTGCCTCTGCACCGCCCCCCTCCCCTCTCCCTCCCCTCCTGCTGGGGCTCAGGCCAAGCTAGCCCAGGAAATGGCTCTCCGATTTCTCTCTCTTTCCATGTTGCCAGTGAAGGAGGAGGTTGAGGTGGGGTTGCAGAGTGGGGGAAACCAGAGGAGGTGCCATTTTTAAAAGGTATGTTTTTGCGTTGACTCCAGGGAGGGAGGGAGAGGGAGAAACATTGATGGGAGAGAGAAACGTCCACCGGTTGCCTCCCATACACACCCTGAACCAGGACCAAACCCGAAACCTGGACGTGTGCCCTGGTGGGAATCAAACCAATCAAACCGGGACCTTTTGGTGCACGGGACATCACTCAACCTCCTGAGCCACACCGGCCGGGGTGGGAGCAGGTGCAACCTGAGGCTGAAAGGATCTGGAAGTGCAGCTGGCGGGGAGTCCTGGTGCAGAGCCCCTGCTCTGCCGGGTGCCCCGACATCCCTGTGCAGCAATTTCCGTTTCTATTTTAAACAGTTTGGGTTGGTTGCCTCCCTGACTTCCTGCTGGGTGTTTAGAGTGAGAAAAATAATTGGTAATATTCACACAGATGTGCTGGCTCTGCAGCTCATCAAGGGCACCTCTACCTGGGGGACCCTTTCTCCCCCCACTTCTCTGCTAGCATCAGGAGCAGGCCTCCAGGGGGGGAACTGCCAGCCCCGGGGCCTCCGGGGAGCCCCAGGCGGGGAGGCACAGGCAGAGCTGGGAGGCAGGAGGCCTCTGGTGCCCCAGGCATGCCCGGAGGTGGGCATCGGCGTGACAGGGGAGGGCCCCTGCCTGGGCTGCAGGACTGAACAGCATGGCCCCTCCCAGGGGCTGCGGGAGAGAAGCCCCCAGAAGCTTGTTTCTGATTCCATTTTCTCCTGTGGAGCCTGAATTTGCAGATGGGGGTGAGGGATGAGGGGGTGGTGAAAAGGAGGAGGTAGCGGGACTAAGGTGAACATAGGAGATCACCGGCTTCTCCCTTTTCTGGAGGCTCGGGGCTCCGTTCTGAAGGGGTGGGAAGGCGGCGGGAACTGTCCTGGCTGTGAGGCCGCCTGCCCACCCGAGCAGGGCCTGGGCTGGAGTGAGCACTGCCCACTGTCCATCCGGGACCCAGCCAGGTTGGCAATGTGATTGATGGCCGCAGAGCAGGCAGGCCAGGGAAGACTCCTCAGTCACCACGTCTTCATCACCCCTGGAAAGGGCACACACTGAATGTGTGCACACAGTATTGTGCATGTGTCCCCGTGTGTATGTGTGCACGCCTACACATGCAGGTATGTGCATAGGTACAGGCATGAGCACATGCGTGCACACCTATGCTAATATATGTGTACACGTGTGTATGTGTCTTGGTTTGGGTCCCACAGAGGCTGACCCAGAGACAAAGGTTCAATTGCAGGTAGTTGACTGGGAGATGACCCTAGGAAGCACAACAGGGGAGTGAGGAAGGAGACAGGAAAGGAAGGCAGTCTTAATGCTCTCAGGCAAATTGCTGCTGGGAGCAACTGAAACTCAGCCCAGAGTGGGGGGCGGGGGGGGGGGGGTCGGGGAGCAGCCGGGCAGCCCGGGAGCCAGTGTACACCACGACCATTCCTCCCCGCAGAGGGCAGGAGTCAGGCCCAGATGGGAGCCTGTCCTCTCAGAAGGCCACTGGGGGCAGGAGCAGCAGACGGGCGTGGGGAAGGATGGGACACAGGTGAACGTGGAGGCAGGCACCAGGTGTTACAGAAATGTTTATTACAAGGATAAATATACACAATGTGGGACATTAAAACTGCTGATCTCAGGCCTGTGGGACTTCAAGGAAAGCAGGGAATGGAGGGCTGGGTGACACCTGGGGTGAGGGTGGATGGCGGGACAAGGTGGGTCCACAGTCCCAGGCCCTGGCTGGGGCCTGGGAGTGACCAGGGCCCCAGATCACGCACAAGGAGGCCTTATCGCTTGAGCTCTGTCTGACAGGCTTGCCTTCCAGTGTGCTGCCTTCCTGCCCGCCTGCCTGTTTGTCTCTAAAATTCTGGATGATCCCTAGTTGCTGGGATGTGAGAGCAACTCTGAGCGGGGGGGCATCAGCAAAGAAGCCCCGAGGCTGATCAAGGGCCCACCACTGCCCTCCAGCGTCCAGAAGTGGGAAAACAGCATTGGTCTTTGAGAGACAGGCCCAGCCTTCTTCTCTGAGTTGGTGGAGCCCTCAGAAATGATTGCAATTTGGTTCCAGCCCACGTGCTCCCAGCACAATTCAAAGAGCTTGGAACGCCCCTTGGGAGGCTCCTGTCACCTCCCTGCCCGTGAATACTAAGGGTGATGGGAAAGCAAATCCCTTAGATAGAGTCTCCTCATCCTTCTAGACCTTGCCAAAGGGACACCTCCTCCAGGAAGCCTTCCTGATCCCTGCTGGCTGCTCAGTCATGCCAGCCCTGTGTCACTCCTTCATCAAACTCACTCTACTCAGTGGGGCTTCTCCTCGCTGGTTTCCCATAGGATGGAAGGCCCTGAGCTCAGTGGCTGCTGATACACTCTCTCTCCATTCACCTGGGATGGTGCCCTCTCGCCCCCCCCCCCCACCTCATCCCCAGGAGGAGCCCAGAAAAGGATGATGGGAGCAGGGACCAGTGGCAGAGTGTGGAGCCCCAGGAGGCCGGCAATATTTCAGGACCCCTGCCATCACACCTGCCTTTTGTTCCCGCACAGAGGAGCTCCCAGAACCTGGTCCTGGTGCAGAGTTTACAAGCCTGGGACCCACCCCCCCTGCCCCCCATCTAGAATCTATGGTGTCTCACAAGCCCTCAGGAGGGATAAGCACCGTCCAGAGCCGGAAAGAGCCAGGGGCCCCTACGTCTCCGTGTGTTTCCCGCCTGGCTGGCTGGGTTTGGGCATCAGGAGGCCGGACGGTGGGACTGGGGAAGCCCAGGGTAGCGACTCCTCCGAGCGGAAAGGACTGGCCAAGTCTCCTGTCCGCCAGGCATCCCTTTCCCTCCCTGCCACCTCCTGCTCTTTCTCTGTGGAGAGGTTGGCAGAGCTGGGTAGTGGGCTGCCTGAGGGCAGAGACACTCTGGGGAGCGGGCAGAATGGGCTGAGCTCCAAGCTGGCATCGAGCCAGAGGTGGGGCCGGCCTGGTTGGCGTGATGGGCAGCACTGCCCTCTCCTGCTTCCCCAACACAGCGCGGCTGGGGAGCGGTGCCCCGGCCCTGCTCTGGGGCCAGCAGCAGTGGACGAGAGGAAGTGAAGGTGGAGACCCGCAGGCTGCAGCCCGGGAGCCACCTCCCGGCTCGTCTTCCGGGGCAGGGCCTTCCAGAGAGTCTGCAACCTCACGCCCCGCTGCCCCCTCTGGGGGAGCAGGGGAGTCAGGATGCCAGACCCCGCCGGCCGCTAGCCGTGGCCGTTGTGGGACATGTAAGCGGCCAGAGCCACCACCACAGCCACGTAGAGCCCGGCCCCCACGGCGATGGAGAGAGTGGCCAGGAAGAGGGCCCTGCGGGAGGTGGTGCTGGCCAGGCGGAAGTCCCCCTTGGAGATGGCCTTGCTGGTCTAGGAAGAGAGATGTGCTGATGAGAGGGGGCATCCCCATGCCCGTGCCCAGCCAAGCTGCCCCAGCCCACCAGGCCCCCGGCCCCCTCCTGCACATGCTTCTGCCACGCCCTGCAGGGGAGGGAGGGGGCCAGCGCCCAGGGCCTGGGCCCCGCGTGCTCTTACCCCCTGGGAGAAGTAGAAGGCGGCGATGCCCAGCGGCCAGAAGCAGCAGAGCATGGAGAAGATGGTGAGCCCCAGGTGGTCCCTGGGCGGCAGCGAGAGGAAGTTGTCTTCGCTCTCGCTCTCCGTCGAGGTTGCGTCACTCTGCAAAACACGGGCCGGGTTTGTGACCAGGCCCGGACTGCCCAGCGGCAAGCATGTGGCTCTCTGCCCTTCCGATGGGAGTGCCTAGGCCGGGCTCGGAGCTCTCTACCAAAGAATCTTAACAATGACCCACTGATTCCATCTGTAGGACTTTATCACAGGGATAGAATGTCAGTGTATACGTACAGGCACGCTCGGCACCGGGAAAGACTGGAAACAATCACAATGCCCAGCGGTCAGGGGGTTGACTTAAGAAGTGATGGAGTCTCGACCATGGAATTCCATGGAACCCTTTAAAATCACCCGGTGAAGAGATGACATTATGTGGAGCAACACTACATAGGCTGCTTAGAGAGAGAAATCAGATTAAAAACTAGGCACTGCAAGATCTCTCTCTCGGGGACTAGGATGGGATAAAAACATGAATAAAAAATGAGGAGAAGATCACCCCTGACAATAATGTTATCTTCCAGTGGTTTTCTGCATTAACTGTATATTACTTATATAATTAAGAAAACAGGAACAATACATGCCATTTAAAAATTAAATAGTTTGGCTCAGTGAATAGAGCGTCGGCCCAAGTTTGATTCCAGTCAAGGGCATGTACCTTAGTTGCGGGCACATTCCCAATAGGGGGTTTGTAGGAGGCAGCTGATCGATGTCTCTCTCTCACTGATGTTTCTAACTCTCTATCTCTCTCCCTTCCTCTCTGTAAAAAAATCAATAAAATATATTAAAAAAAATTAAATAGTCAACCCAAGCTAGGGTTTCTCAAAGTGTGGGTAGCAGTTGTGTCAAAGTGCCCCGGGGGAGGTGTGACCCCAAGCCAGGCCTAATTAATCCAACACCTGGCAGTGGGCCCGGGACTCTGTGTTTTAAATACATGTACCCACCGCCTCCTCCTCCGGGTCGTCCTCCTGCCCCTGCAGCTCCTCTTGAACCCCATAGGACACAGTCTGGATGGCAACATCCTCTTCTGCGTGGCCAGGCTCCGTGGGCCCAGCCTGGGGCTCCCTGCTCTCTGTGAAGCTGGTCTCACAGCTGCCTGCCCTGGGCTCCTTGACCTTGTCCCTCCCCAGGAGGCAGCTAGGCCGGTACCAGGCTTCCACGGCCAGCTGCAGGGACCCTGGGTCCAGGAGCTGGTGGGCGCAGGCGGGGTCAGCGCCTCCTAGGAGGAAGGAGTAGAGCTTCTCCTGGCAGGACCAGCTGGGCGTGGCCTCGGGGTAGGGGTAGGGCCGGTGTAGATGGGCGGGGCTCCGAGGCAGCAGCGGGTTCTGCAGCTCACTCAGACTCTCCATGGTTCTGGGGGCAGTTCCAGCAAAGGGAGTCTGGGCCAGCCGGACAGTCCTCAGAGAGCCTGCTGGGAGCACAAGACAGACAGACAGACAGACAGACAGACAGACAGACACTGAGGCCAGGGCACCGGATGCAGGAGAGCCCGGGTTCTGCAGTCGGACTTGCCTCAGACCCCGCCTTTACCACTGGCCAGAGGTGGGACCTTGACTTGGCTACTGAACTTTTGAGAAACGTCTCCAGCTTTTTGTCTGCAAATCGGGGATAACAGCTGTATCTACCTCATAGAATTGGTTTGTTCATGTATCCACTCAACACGTATTTAGTGAGCATCAGCTCTATGCCAGGTGCTGCACACACAGATGCTGGGACATGATGGTGAGAGAGGTGGGAAGGGAAGAAGAGGGTGCACACTTTTCCTTCCTGGAGCTTACGGTCTGGTAGAGAAGTACAGCAGGGGGGTGAGAACAGAGGTGCAGGGAAGGCTTTTAAGCAGATCTGAAGGAAGAGGACAAGTTGACAAGGCAGAGGAGGGCAACACATTTCATGCAGAGGCCAGATAACGATGGCAGGTCTGAGAGCCTGGGAGAAGGCGGGTGTGGCTCAGGGTACAGAGGGAGGAGTGAGATGGGTGTGGGGCATGCAGTCCTGTTGGAGTCTCAGAGGGCTTCCCCGTCTTGGCAGGTGTGGTAGGATGGGGTTTGGATCCTAAAGCCTCAGTGTTTATGTGTGGAGAGTGGCTTGGAGAGAGCTGGGCTGGCTAGTACATCATCTAGGAGAATTGGCCATGGCTTCTGGTCAACTGAAGACACTGGAACTCAGTGGGGAGATAAAGAGAAAAGGACAAGCCCTGGCCGATGTGGTTGAGTTGATTGAAGTGTTGTCCCGTACACCAAAAGGTAGCAAATTCGATTCCCAGTCAGGGCACATACCCACGTTGTGGGTTTGACCCCTCTGTTCAGGGTGTGTGCAAGAGGCAACCAATCAAGGTTGTTTTTTTTTTCACTCTCTCATTCCCTTCCCTTCGCTCTAAAAACAAATAAAAATATTTTTAGAAAGCTAAAAAAATATTTAAAAAATCAAAACTTGTCAAAGGGCCATTTCTACTTCTGCCCAAGAGAAATGAGTAGATTCTGGAAAGCCGGTTCTTGGGAAACCTGAAGACAACGCCTGCCCCAGGAGCAATGCCCAGGGAAAGGGACAGAGGGAGGGGAGGAGAGGGACCACGTGTTGAGAGTGTGTCCATGGGGGCCTGACTCGCTGGCTGGCCTGTGAGGGAGGAGGGTGAGCTGTGGCTGCCTGGAGGCAAAGCAGCAGGAAGAGGATGCCCGTGCCTCAGGCTCTAGCAGAGAGTCCTGGAGGGGCACGAAGACGAGCATGTGGCCCGGGTGTCCACCTCCTCATCCAGGAAGGGGACAGAGGGTGAGGAGATGTTGGGCTGCCGTGGGCCTGCGGGCTTTGCTGGTGCAATAACCAGCTGCAAGTTACACTTGGGCTGAGAGCAGCTGTGACGGGAGCTTCTCCACAGGCAGAGATGGGCACACAGGCTTGGAGGGGGTGGGGCTTAGGTCACTGCTCTCCAGTGCTCACCAATGCTCACCAATGCAGGGGCCTGGCTACTTCCTCCTCCTTTCTCTCCAGAGGTCAACAATGTGTGGAGCCCCTCGGACTACAGGGATGTGGAGGGCTCCTTCCTGCAGGTGGGGAGTTGGGAGTGCCCACAACAGAGGTCTTGCAAGGCTAGGCTTGTGTCTGGGCTCCTGGGGGCAAATTCCAAGCCGGACTGGTCTCTTTTGACCCCCATGGGCAACTTCTGAGCCTGTCATAATTTCCCCTCCTCCAGCAGATGTAGAGTTGAAGGTTATGTGACCATAAGGCTCATGGATTTGGTAGTCAGGAACACTGGGGCTCCATTCCTGAACCACCCCCATTCACATTTTGACTGGGCACCTCAGTTTTCCCATCTGTAATAAGAAGGGTTGAATTAAATGGTCACTGATGATGATGGCACTAACATTCATGATCCCATAGCCTCAAGAAGCCCCACAGAAGTGAAATGCCCCCACTCTTGGTCACCTTTCAAGAGTCCAGGGTAGATGAGCAGGCTCAGAGCCCAGTGAGGTGCACAGTCCTCTCCTTCCCTCCATGGCCCCTCAGAACAGGATGAGGGAGGCAAAGGAAAGGTAAGACATCTACTTGCAGGTGGACCCTCAAGCTTCCCAACTCCCCCTGGGGTGCCCTAGTTCCAGCCCCGCCTGCTCCTCATCTTTCCCACCCTCTAGGATTATAGGACCTGGTTCTCAAAGGTCCCCCAGCCTCTCCACCAGCTGGTCTTCATTTACCCGCCTCTATGGATAGCCTTGAAGGTCCTTGTTGCCATTCATGTGGACAGAGGTATGGAGGGCCTCTCAGGAGGGGTGGGGCAGGGAGGACCAGCCCCAGGGTCCTCAGAGCAGACGAATGCATCTAACTCACCCGTGCCCTTTGCCCTGCGTCAACAGGGTAAGTCACCTGTCCAATCCCCCAGGAGGAAAAGAAGGATGCTCGTGGCCTGGAGTGAGGCCCTGGGGCTCTGGAGACTGTGGGGGCATTTGCAGGGCACTTGTCCAGGGCAGGCAGGGGCAGCTGGGTCCCAGCTCATCCTGGGACCTCTTTTGCCAACCACCTCTTTTGGTCAGAGTACACCAAGCTGAGTGAGCTTCCAGAACCCAAGTCACACAGCCTTTCCTGGGCTGTGCCATTAGGCAAGGCTTCTCAGCACGTCACTGTACAAAGATGCACGGTCCTGGGTTTTGCACAATAGGAACAAACAAAAAGCCACCTGAGTGTCCCACTACCAGGGATGAGTTAAATAAACTATGGTCCAATCTAAGGCGGTACAAGACCTTCCAGCGGGCTTACAGAGAGGAACGGCAGGAGACAGTGCTCCCTGCAAGTTCAGGGAGAAGGCAGGAAAGAACAGTTTGTGCACATCATTTCAACTACAGCCGAGTGTCAACAGTGATTGCCTCCAGGGGTGAGAGCACGGGTGTTTTTTTCCATTTTCTTTTTTACACCATGGTTTTCCGGTGTTCCACATCTATTTTTTTTTTTTTTTTTTTTTTTACAGCGAGCATGTACTACTTTTAAACCAGAACAAATTAAGTGCATAGATTTCTTCTGAACCAAATTATCTAAAATCGGTTTAAAACTTCCCTAGGCTAGAGCGTTTCTTCTGGGTTTAGACGTCTGAGCACAGCATCAAAGCCTACCCTGACACGCACACACACACACACACACACACACACACACACGCACGCACGCACCTCCACTTCCATAAAGCATCCAAGCTACGGCTGTAGCACCTGCTCATAGCGGCAGTCAAGGGTCACAGTTCTCTAACAGGTCATGTGGCCATGCTCTCCCCATAACCTGTTAGGGCCATACAAGAGTTCACTGAGCTGACCCCATGGACCCCGCACTGGACTCTGGCCAGATGGAGAAGGTGGCAGGTCCCCAGGGCAGCTTTCTCTGCCCTTGGCCTGGCCTGACCTCTTGGCCTATTGCTTGTGGCTGTTTCTCCCTGCTCTCTGGGGAAGAGACCAGTTCAAAGCAGTTTTCATCTCCATCTCTGCTCCCTTGGACTATGTGTGCCTACGGCCTGGTGAGCATACCTGTGTGAGAATGTGTGTGTGTGTAAGTGCACACATGTCCAGACGACAGACATGAAATGTCTGGGATTCTGAAGCTAAGCAGATTGCTCCAAATTGTGCGTTTGGGCCTAGCTGTCCCGGCCCCACTGGAGGAGAGGGAGAGAAGATGGCTCTTGCTTGTTTTCTTTTCAGCTGAGAACTGAGCTGAGCTAAGGTTTTCCAGTCCCTGGTTTGGGGAGGGAGAGCACACTGCCGCCTCTCAGACCAGGGACAGAAAGCCATCCAGGAGCCCACTAGCATCCAATTACAGCGTCCCACTGGAGTCTGATTGCACCTGAGTCCAATCATCATATAGTGTAACATCAGCTTGCTGATCTATACACTGAATGGATGGCGTAGAAAGTGTTGATTTTTTTAACGGCTTGGCTCAATATGACCCTGGGATTCTATTGGGAGAAGAAGAATAATAACAACACTTACTGAGCTTTCTGCATGTGCTAGACACTCATTTTGACTCAATAATTCTAGTGGGAGAATAAAAATAGGATGGGTGCTGCCCCTTCTAGCTGTGGCAGACAAACTCAGGTCACACAAAACCTGCCAATAATAGCTAGAAAAGCCAGGGAGAACATGAGGGCATTGAAGAATCACCCATATTTCACCCTAAGGAATATGAGGGAGCAAGAATCGGAGGGGTCGGGGTTGCAGGTTCCCTTGGCCCCACTTTCCCCTTCTTCTAGGGGCATCAGAAGCTGGGGAGAAGAAATGAAGGAGGAGGTGGGGGACCCAGAAAACAGTGCCAGTTTTCAACGCTTTAGGGCACCCCTCTTTCTGGCAGGAGCAAACCAGAAAGCAGGCACAAAGCAGGCCTTGAATCGGCTCCGTCCCTCGGAGTAAGGGGACCTGCACACAGCCTGGCTGCCTTCTCGAACCTGACGTGGTCTCAGGGCAGCGGTTCTCACTTTAGTGTTAACCAGCACCACCTGCGGACTCGTAAACTCAGACTGCTGGTTCCCACCCTCACCGTGTATGCTTCCAGATGGGCCTCAGCAGGCACATCTGCAGCAAGTTCCCCGTGCTCCTGATGCTTCGGGTCCAGAAGCCACGCTCTCAGAACCACTGCTCTGATAATCCACTGAAAAAAATAGTGAAGTCATGTATAACCTGTAAGCTAACAGATGGGGAACATGAAGTAATAAAAGTGCTTGATTACCCAAAACCAGACAAGATAGAAAAAGGGATATAGAGCAGGTGAGACAAATAGAAAACAAAGAGTAAGATGTTAAACTTACACCCGATTATATCAACCATTACACTGAATGTGAACGAAATAAAATTGCCGGTACAAAGACAAGGAGAGTCACATAGGGTATGAATCCATTCATATGGAATTTGAGAGGCGAAACTAGAGCGGCAGAAAGCAGACCAGTGGTTG